CAGTCCCTTTGAGATCAATGATAAAAGAAGATATTGTGCACTCTAAAATTTCTCCTGGACTGAGACAGCTCTGCATAGCTGGAGTTGAATTTGGTGACAGCAGGTTTACAAAGAAGGTGATCAGGAATATTTTGATAAATGAAATTTTCCCTAATCCAGTTAAAAGAAATTATATTCTTAAAGTATTCGAGACCATGAAGGTTAAGGTGATAAGAAGAAAGTATATCTCACTTCCCACTTTTCCCCTAAAGTAAAAGAGGTTAACTTTAAAATTATAAATGAGGTTTATCCAACCAAAGAATTCTTAAGACGGAAATTTAACTTAGATGTGAACGCCTGCACATTTTGTGAAAATGATATTGAAAGTCTGGATCACTTGTTTTTCTACTATGAATCAGTGCACTCCTTCTGGAGTGACATGTGGAGCTGGCTACAGTCCAGGAGAATTCAGTTATTTGACGGTGACAGTAATAAAATTTGGAATACTTGACTTGATGATTAGGACGGTTTTGTTACTGGGAAAAAAATCTATTCACAAATGCAGATACTTTAAAGCTAAACCATGTATAAACAGATGGCTGAATGACTTTAAACTCTGGGCTAAGTCGCTGAAACTTGTGAATAACAAGAAAGCTCAGAAACTTGTTATATTATTTAACAAGTTTGATCTATGTTAAAAAGAAACCTCCCTATTTAATGATTATGATTGCCCCTTTCTTTGTTCATATTCCTTTTTTTGCCTCTGGTTTCAAATCCTTCAATGACTGTTCTTTCTTTTTTTTGTTAACTCTTTTTGGCTTTGTGTTTATTGTTTTGTTTTTGCATTTTTCTTTTCTCGTTGTAACGCTCAACCAAGGATATAACATATTCAGATTAATGATCGTACCTTGTATGTTATACTGTTGTTTATAAATAAAGTTCACAAAAAAAAAAGAAGAGAGAGCTGTCGCTACCCGATCCGTACTGGAAACGGTACTACAGGAAATGCATTTTATATACCAGTTTCAGTTACTGTTAACAGACTAAGTTCAAATTGTAATATGTTATGTTACTGGACTACACTTACTGGACTTGTGGAAGTATTTTGAGAACCATAAGAGACTCTTACAAATGTTTGAAAGAAAAGATTTTCTAATATAGATGGAGACTCATGTAGAAATATGAAGCAATATGAGTTTAAAAAATTAGATTTCTGTCATGGTGTGCTGTGACAGGCAGGTTGTAGAACCCAAACTCAGGACTCTTACGTAGAATGAAACTTAAATAAGCAGCTTTTATTACTGGAAAAACATTTTCATTAGAGATAAACGTCACAAAAAACAAACCAAAAACTCAAAACTCATATAACTGGACTCAAGAAACTAAAAACTAAGAAAAAAGAACTAGGAAAACAAATCAGGAACTATGAACAAGAATTAACTAAAGAACACGAAGGGAAAAACAAAACACCCAGCCCACTGAAAACTAATGAAACCCCCAAAACATGAACAACAATCATCAAGGAACATATTTACATATTTACAGTTACTGGAACATCAATACTGGATCGCAGACCCAGTACGGTGACAATTTCAGTTTCAGTGTCAGTCAGTGTCTTTTGGTCTGCAACAACAGCAGAACAGACTTTTAAGTCTTTTGAAGAAGCCCTTTTTCTTCTTCCTCTTATTGATCTGAAGGTCTTTGGACTTCATACTGGATTCAGGTTCAGGAAAAAGTTCCTCACAGGGAACATCAGGCTCTGGCACACTTTCTGAAAGAGGTCCTTCGATCTTAAGGTCTTGAGAACTCAGATTTGATGCCCTTTCAACAAGAAGTTCCTTGCAGAGAACGTCAGGCGCTGGAACACTTTCTGAAAAAGATCCTTCGGCTGGTGGAACATTTGCCATTGAAAGACCGTCAGAGGAGGGTTCTTCATTTGTGTTCTTCACAACAGGAAGAGTTGAAGGAGGCTCAAACATTTCAGATATCTGGATCATTGCTACATCAGCAATGGTCTTCAGCAACACTGGTGCAAAGTTTGCAATTTCGATAGACAGAATTGTCGACCATATTGTCTCGGATGGAGTGGGTGAAGATGACCTGTGTTTCCATTGCCGTGAGACACGATCCAAAGTGGCCTTGGTGACACTCGTGGAGAGGATGCTTAGATTCTGGGAGGCCATGTTTAGGAGTGGACAAGGAGGAAGCTCCCAGAAGCCATGGAGAACGTGGGGAACTTCCTCGATCACTACCTCCTGCACGGTCAGCAGTTTGGTGTTATGCTGTTCCAGCTGCCTCTTTTTCAGGATTTCAGTGTAGTCCTTCACCATGCTGAGGAGTTTAGTTGTTCTGTAGAAAAACATTATAAGATATATATTATCTTTTAAACATATTTATAGCATCACTTAAATATTGAAACACTGTAGCTGGACTGTTAACCCTATAATGCCCTTTGTATCATACTTGATACATGAGTTTCTGAGACCTCTGTCTCATCAACATGATCAATACTTGCCATAATTTCAAAATGTTATGGACAAAACTCTTTTTTTTGTCTAAAGTTAATATTGTTGTTAACAAAAAGTTGCTAAAAACATCCGATGCATCAAATGCAATACAAAAAATATAATAAATACATAATAAAAGTATATCATACACAACATGACATAGCAAAAAACAAATTTGTGTATTTTGTTTAAAGGGTTAATAAACATCTCAGTTCCCCTCTCTGGAGGGAAGAGGGAGGGGAAACAGGAGGACAAAGGAGGGGGGGACAACTAAGCTGTAGTGTCATGGTCCCTGTGTCTTGCTGGCCGACCCAGTTTGTTTGTGGTTTTTTACTCTCTCCCCCTCTCTCTCTCTCTCGCCGCGGCGACGCTCATTGTGGGCTCTCGCTGCTGGCCCACACACCTGCTCTCATCACCACACCGGCCGCTGATCTCAGCTGATTACTGCACTACTTAAGATGGCGAGTCTGTGCTAGTCTTCGCTGGATCGTTGAGCTATCAGCGTCAGTCAAAGTTGTGTATCTGCCAACCTGAATCTTGAAAGCCCTTTGTTATTATCCCGCTAATCTGACCTTTTGTGTTTAGATCGTTTTTGGAACCGGATTCTGAGAGGAGTGACTGGGGAGGAGGAGGAGGAGCTTTTTGTACAGAAAGTGTGGAGCACCTTTTCCCCTAACCCTGTTTCCCACGGACCCTGGCAACCCGGACCCCTTTCCCCCCTGCACGTTCTATATAGCCACTTGGTGATTGTGTTCACTGTAAATAAACGCACTGTTCTTCGCTTAAAGGAATACCCTGGCCTGCGCCTGAGTCTCTTTCAGAAACCTTATCATGTAGTGCCTTTTCACTGTGCAATACTTTTTGCGAATATTCAACGGTCTAATAGACTTCAATAATTGATATGTGCAATTCCCTTGTATTCTTATTCCTATTTATTTTATTTATCCCTTTGGTATAATCTTTATTTATATATGTCTCTGTATTTATATATGTGTACATATAGTATTCTGCTCACATTCTGTAACTTCTGTCGGTGCTGTGCTATTTGGAAACCGAATTTCGCAGAGGAACCCACCCGAGGGATTAATAAAGTTTTATCTAATCTAATCTAATCTAATCGCAATCTAAAAATAAAAGGAGACATTTATTCACCACCACTCTCAGGTCCTTAGAAATTACCTGATATTTTCTGTCAGCTTTGGTTTGCATGAATCCGGGTCTTACCTGAGTCCT